AAGTTTACTCCCGAATAAATATATTAGTTTTTATATAGAAACTAGCTGCAAGGACCCGCTTCGCTGGGTTTTTATTTGTTTGTACATTTGTATGTAATATAGTTTTTTTTTATATATAAAAGACTGTTTTTCTAAGTAATCTAGAATTTTGCTGCAAGGACCCGCTTCGCTGGGTTTTTAAAAAGTAACGATAGTGAAGATTAAGATAATTACATTATAGCCAATCTTACCCGTTTTCACATAATGCAAGAATTAGGTCCCCCGTTTCCAGACTAATTAGAGACCTGGTCCCGATTCTATTTCTGAACGTCTCCTGTTCACGTCCGGTCAAATGAACTATTTTCAACGTTTCTGAAACGTTTACAATCGTTCTATAATCGAACCAATATTCAAATTTTATGTTCAAATTTAATTTGAACAAATTCGAACAAATTTGAACAAAACATTCGAAATAGAAAGCCACTTTCAAGCCCACATCTCCCGCACCCTTATAGCTATCGAGACGCAACCACTCCTATGCACGAATAGAGACTTGGGGCTACTACCACATACAAACACCATTCACGTACGATGTGTAGTTTTTGCGAAAAAGTGAAATATAGGGACATACATGTCCATTTATATATATATATATATATAAACATCCAGATCCGACAGTTATATATTAAATCCAAATAATTGTAGCACAGTAAATGTTAATTTTCTTTTTATTGTAGAATTTTTTACTTAAGTTATTAATTCAATTGTAGAATTTTAAACTTAACTTATTAATTTACAAAGTTAAAATATTACCACATTTAAATGAAATCCAAATTCATATTATTTATCAACTTTTTTAACTTTTCAAGTTATCAATAAAGTCTTCTAGATTACAGTTGATCCATCCTTTTCATATAAATTTTGATATTATTTCATCTAATAAACATGTTCTAATCATAAACTAATCATTAGGTAAAATTATTACAATTACTGTATTATTTAATTTAATCATTAGGTATTAATTGTGCTTTTTACTTTTTCCTGTGGTAACTTCTATTTGGAGATATTTGCTATTACAGTCGACCCCCCTATAACACTGTTGATTTTTCCGTTTTATATGAATTCCATGTTGTACGAGTCACTTAGATTTTAGAAATACGTGTGCCATTCACAGCCCGGCACACATATTTCTAAAATCTAAGTGACTCGTACAACATGGAATTCATATAAAATGGAAAAATCAACAGTGTTATAGGGGGGTCGACTGTATTAATCTTTAGGTTTGTTTTAATTTTATTGTTAATTTCATTAGATTATTATTCTTGTCTAAATAAATGCAGATCAAGGAAAATCAATAGTGTATTAGGAAACTGTTTCTTAACTTAGTATATGTAATATAACACATTAGAAAATACTCTCTGAATCAATGTAAGTTTTTTTATTAATTGCTTTATTAATCAGTTGTAATTACTAAATGTTCAATATTGCATATATTATTTTACTACAAAAACTGTTCCATTAATGTGATTCATAAAATAATGATAAATTAAGAAAAATCTGATTTTGTTTCTTCATATCCAATATTCAATTCAATATTTTAGACCAGAGGTTCTCAAACTTTTTTGACTGTTGACACCTTCAAAAATTCCTTAACCTTTTATCAACCTCCCTCTTCTTTATTGCTAATACAGTTAATAATGATGATAAATAAATAAATCTGGGAGCCAGTATTAATCTAATACCATTTTCATAGATCTACTTACAGTTTGCCAATTTACATCATCCTGAACTGTCAACCTATTGGAATAATAATTTTGAATGAAACATTTTCAATCAACTACTTATTGACCACTTGGACTCCTGTTCTAGACAGAGATGCCACTAAAACAAATGCAACTTGTATTGATAGATCAATCAAATCAGTATTTTAAAAATTTTAGATATTCAATTCATAATTAATACATAATTAATGCAGACTCTTCCCAGAATAAAAATTCTGCACAAAACAGAATAAATAGAAATGTGTAAATATATAGTCAATACTGATTATCTAAAACTAAAATTAACACATAAATATGAATATTTTTTCCAAATTTACAATTAATGCAATTTATGCCATCTGAAGCAAATGTGATTCCTTGTTCAACTACAATATTAATAACATAAATTTCATGATTTTAAAAGTTTATGCATATATATTCATTCTTAGAAAATTGTCATTTGTAGAGTTAGTTATTTTATTAATTATTAATTTTTGGAATAAAGAATATTTGATACAATATTGTATATTATGTAGCTCATCAAAGTGCATTTGGCTCACTGGTCCCTACTTGTAGAATATATTTAATATTTACTAAAATTTATTACTATAGTTCATTGATTTTATTTCAACATAATTGAAAAGACATTCTTGAAGTTTTGAACATACTAAAATATAATATTTTAATAGTCTTTTAAAATTAGAAGTACAATAAAATTTTGAATTTTACTGTTCTTTAAAAATTTTAATTTTTTTAAAAACCATTAAGATAATTTTAATAAAATGTTTTTCTTCAAATACAAATAATAATTTTTATGTACAGAATGATTCTATAACAACAATTTATTTAAAGAAGAATAAAAGATATTTATTTTTGTAAAGAAATTGTTCAAACATTAATTATTGTGATTTCAGTCGATAATATATGGATTTGATATATGTTTTTGAAAGTAATTTGAAACGAGATGTGATTTGTGTGATGATGCTGGTTATATGCAAATTTTAAATTCCAATCAAGAGTGAAAATTGATCATGCTATACAATTATCTATTCTTACATTTGCAAAAAATGACAGCAAATAATTATTGACGATTAAAAAACAAGCTTCAACTAGCACTAATATAATAATGATATTTTCTTGCAATTAATCATACAAGTTTAATATTTTTAATTAAAAATTTTTCAATTCTAAATTAGAAAAGCAATGAAGAATGAAAGAACTATATAGAAAGTATGGTAATTTTTTCAGAGTTTATTTTATTATTTATTGGACAAAGGAAATTAGTCATGAAATAAATGATAAATTGTAGTTACTTATTTTTACATTTAATTTACACAATTACAAAAGTTCATAAACATATGAATTGTTCTAATGTGTGGTCAATGAGGGGGGGTATCCAGTGCAAACAAGAATGAATTTCCCTTGGATTAAGTTAACATTTAAAATGTTATACAAATTTTAGTTTAATTAATGTAAAATAGATTTCAACATTGTAGAGTTTAAAAAAAAACAAAGCAAAAAGATAATGTCATCTTTAGTTTCAATTCCAGTAATTAGTAAATTTAATTCAAAAATAATTATAATTAGTAGTTAATGTTAGTATAAGATACCTTTAGAAAAAATTATGTTAATTAATAGTTAGCCAAACTATAATCCACATTTTGAAATTAATATGATTATTCTAGAATACTTGGGTTTGGTTTTTCACATAAATCTACTATATGTTAGCAGAAATTAATCAGAAAAAGCAATATTTTAATGCTTGAGATGAACAATTTTATTAAATTAAATTTCTGTCAATAACCAAATACCTTTAATGTTGCCAGGAAAGTTTACTTTAGTTTTAAATAAACTTCCTCGGCAATGTTTAATATTTTGCTGAGCACATTCTATTTAAATTTCTGTCTTCTGATTTGAAGATAGAGCAAAAGCAACTCTGAAAAAATTTTAATCCAATAATAGTGACTTTTATAGAAATAAACAAATGTTTGATTCTTAGATTCAACTCCATATTGTTCAAATTATGTGAAGAAATATTAAATTATTATATCATTTACAAAATATTTTACTAGAATAACATTGAAATTTTTCATACTTGCTTTACAAAAAATTAAATTTAAGACAAAATTGGTAATAAGACATATTAATTATATGACAATTAGTTTAACATTATATTAATAAAACAATATCATATCTTTATTAATAATTGATCACTGAACAAAAAAACTAAATTTATTTGAATTCATTTTTTAATTTATATCATTTCTGATTATAAATGCAGTACAAAATTTCTACATTATTATTTCTAATTCTTTATTTTTTTACATCTGAAAGTTCTATGCTATAAATTGAAAGAATAAAAAAATATTGTTGTTAATCATAGATTCATAAAATTTTCAATCGCAACTTAAAAATGAAATGTATTAAGCAGTTTCTAAAAGGATATCACAATGGTATATACAACTGCAATTCTGTATTGTTTGGAGATTGATTAAAATGAAGACTAGATATTATAATTAAGAGAGCAAAAGAATTATCAATATCAATTTTTATTAGTATAAAGAGTAAGAGCCCTGTTCTGTTACTCAGGGGTTAAATGATTACAACTGTCAAAAGGAGAATATACATTTTACAAACAAAAATTCAAAATTTACATCAATAATAATTTTATTACAGTTCTTAAATTTTATTTATTATTTGTTAGTTTCATCATCTTTCACAATTTTAATTATAAAGTTATACAAGCTGTACAGCTCCTTGTTTGAGAGTTGAGCAAAAGAATTATTAGTAAAGCTTTTATTTCATTAATAAGAACTTTATTAAAATATTTATGTTGTTATACTTTATGAAAATTGCTGATTCTCTTTTATACTGATTAAAAATATTCAAAGAAACACAATGCAAAATAAGATTGTTTAAAAAAAAATTAACTTTTTTTTCATAATAACAAACCATTTCATGTAACAAATACATTAATATTATCATTAATTTTGCTGTCACTAAAAGTTCAAGTTTTTAAACTGTTCTAATTTATGACATGAAAATATAATTTGCATATAATATCTTCTTTAGATTGAAAATGTTACTAATAAATAAAATAATAAAAATAATCTCATTAGCAAAACTTTTATCCTTTGTCTTTTAACTTTTAAACATCAGACTGAAGAATTAAATATTGTTGACATACTATATTATTAAACAATAAATCTAAAAAATTTGATCTTAAATTAATTCACATAACAGATAATCTATTGTTCTAATTTTACTCTTAAGAAGTTATTCTTTAAGAAATCTATTCAGATATTATGTATAGACTTTATAATATTTTTGAGCTTTTTTAAAGATATGCAATAATTAAAATATAGATGCTGCTACAATAATTCATTATAAATGCTGAGTTGTTATTAAATAAAATATCTGATATGTATAGTTAAAAATAGCATAATATAAAGCCTTAGTTCATACATTTAATCATATTAATATTATGATATTATAAAATCTAAATTATTTGTAATGCTGGATTAAGATGTAATTTAAATATAAAAAGTTCATAAATAACATTTGTCCTATGTTTCTTTATATACAAATATGTATAAATATTTGTACGTATTAGATTTTCTGATATCTGTATCAATTAAAAGTTATATACATAGTGAGAGAAAGGTGGATAGATATATACCTTAAATATAAGATTTTTGTAATTTTTGGAAAAATTTAATGTAAATAAATTTCAAGATATGAAAGCAACTTTTTTAATTTACAAATGATAAATATTTGATTTAATTCAATAATTTTAACATGTTCCTAGCTGTAAAACTGCACTGTTAAATAATTTATGATTAGTTTCATGTAAATATTCATTATTACAATTTTTAAAAACTATTCAATACTATTCAAATATTTTAAAAACATATATATATATATTTTATTTCCTTAAAATTAAATCATTTAAGGAAATATTCCACTGAAAGTGATCATTAGTATATTAATCATTTCAAGTAGTGATTAATCAGATGCAAGATATAAGGAAATGTTTTATAAGGAAATTTTCACAATATATTTAAATAATGCAAATTAATAATTCAGTTCTTAGGTCAATAACATGTATCAGAAAATTTTCAACATTAATTAAATTTGAAAATATGAAACTTATTTGATGTTAAATTTGTTAATAATCATTTTGCATTTTTAAAACTAAATGTCAAATTAATTTTTCTCAAATTACCCATAATAAAAATAATTTCTAGTTATTTTCAAAGAGAATTCAAGTAAGGACTTTAAAGCATTTGATAAAATATTTGTATCTAACAATAAATTTTTTATAATCAAATATTTTAAAAATGTTTTGAACAACATAATAAAATTTGTAATCAAAAAATTAATTTTTAGAAATTCAGTATCTATATGAATTATTAGATAAATTATTTTAATTGATTTTACTGACATTTTAATTAAAATATTCTATAATTCTATTAAATTATAACTCTATTAAAATATGAAATTTTTATATTTACAAATCTAATTATAATATATTTTATAGAGAGAAAACTGGAAAATATTAATCATCATATTTCTGAAACAGATTATTTGATCTAAATATTTTCCAGTTTTCTCTCTATAAAATATTTAGATCAAATAATCTAAGTTTCAGAAATATGATGATTAATTTTATTGCAAAGGTGTTTTCTTTTAACATAAGGAAAGACTATATAGCCTTAATTTTAATTATCAATTTTTAAAATAAATGTAACTTTTAAATTAATTTTTTAAGAATTATATTTAAATTTAAAAGAATTGTTTTAGCCTTTTATTTATTTATCAATATTTATTCTTGAATGCTTAAAAATTCTTATTTTTAAAATATTTAATTTTATCTTTATTTGATAAAAAATTATATA